CTACCGGAGATCGAAGCTGCTATCCGAACCATGAAATCCAACAAGGCTCCCGGGGTCGATCGCATATCAGCAGAGATGCTCAAAGCTGACCCCATGCTATCTGCACAAATGTTGCATCAACTATTCTGCAATATCTGGGACACCGCGACTTTTCCGGCTGACTGGATGCAGGGCGTCTTAGTGAAGGTCCCAAAGAAGGGGGACCCAACTGTATGCGATAACTGGCGTGGCATTATGTTACTGTGTTGTGTTCTCAAAGTTCTATGCAAAGTTATCCTCAACCGGATACAGGAGAAGATCGACGCGACTCTCCGACGGCAGCAGGCGGGATTCCGTGCTGGAAGATCCTGTGTGGACCATATTGTCTCGCTCCGCATAATCTTGGAGCAGGTCAACGAATTCCAAGAGTCCCTTTACTTGGTTTTCATTGACTACGAAAAAGCTTTCGACCGACTCAACCACAAAAACCTGTGGGGCGCCCTAAGGCGCAAGGGAGTTCCGGATAAAATCGTCAACCTCATCGAAGCTCAGTATGAGGCTTTCACGTGCAGGGTGCTGCACAACGGAGCCCTATCTGACCCTATTCGGGTAGTCGCTGGAGTGAGGCAAGGATGTATTCTATCACCGCTACTGTTCCTCATCGTAATCGACGAGATAATGGTTGGTGCGATCGACCGTGTGCCGAACCGTGGGTTGCTCTGGCAGCCTATTACAATGGAGCATCTAAACGACTTAGATTTGGCGGATGACGTTGCTTTAGTATCACAACGGCGTTCTGACATGAAGAGTAAGCTCGACGATCTCGCCGAACGCTCCTCAGCGGCAGGTCTCAACATCAACGTCAGCAAGACTAAATCGTTGGATATCAACACGGGAAATCCATCCAATTTTACGGTAGCTGGTCAGGAAGTGGAGAAGGTTGAAAGTTTCCAATATCTTGGCAGCCAGATAGCGTCGGATGGCGGAACCAAGAGTGACATAGGTGCACGGATCAAGAAGGCAAGGGCTGCTTTTGCGAGTTTACGAAACATCTGGAAGTCAAATCAGATTAGTCTCCGCACGAAGATCCGAATTTTCAACTCTAACGTGAAATCTGTACTGCTGTACGCTAGCGAAACATGGTGCGTATCAGCGGAGATCACACAGAAGCTGCAGGTGTTCATCAACCGATGCCTGCGGTATATAATTCGTGCTTGGCGGCCTCACAACTGGATTTCGAATGCCGAGCTCCATCGACGGTGTCACCAGAAGCCGATATCGACAGAAATTCGGGAACGTAAGTGGAGGTGGGTTGGCCACACTCTACGGAAGAGCGGAAATGAAATCTGCAAACAAGCGCTGGATTGGAATCCAGCCGGACATCGCAGCAGAGGCAGACCCAGGGGCTCATGGCGGCGAAGCCTAAACAAGGAGATTAAGCAAGTCGACCGGAATTTGACCTGGGCCCAGGTCAAGGCGAAAGCAAACAATCGCCCAGGATGGAGATCTTTCACGTTGGCCCTTTGCGCCAGGGATGGCGCTCAGGACACTTAAGTAAGTAAGTAAGAACATGATATGGAAACATGGTATGCTACAGGAGTATCGTGGAGTCAGATCACATTTTTATGATTCCCTTCGGGCTCGAGGTGACAACCAGGCATACAAAAAGTACCGCCTCATGACAGTATTCCAACGGCTGTCGCTTTCTTTTTCCTACGACAGCCTTGAGATTGAGCTATAAGCGACAGCCCACAGTGAGGCTGTTATACGACATGCAACGTTGCCGTCTTGTGCAGTACACGACAGCTCGTTCTTAGTCATGTATTTTGTTCGTTCGGCTATGACAGCCTCGGATGGTCATTCGTAACGTGCCTCGTAACTACATACAACAAGCAGTCCGTCAAACTGCCGATTCGTTGCTGCTGGCTTTGAAATTTTGTTTGTGTGTCGTAAGACTGCTACTACACTACCAGTGTGGCGCCGGAGCTCGTTCGGTTGATATCACGTTCGTGCTGCCCATTGCAAAATTTTCATCCGATTTTTTTTTTAAAACGCACGGTCTCCGGCGAAAAATATAAGCCTACCCGACACCAACCTGACTTCTACCAAACCCCAACCCGATGTTGACCCGACATTGACCCGACATAAACACATAATTGACCCGACATCGACCCGACATTTGGCCGACGTCAACCGTAAATTGACCTTACATTGATCCGACATCGGGCCGACATATCTGTTCGGGATCATTCTTCTGGGTTTCTTCCATACTCTACTGCCGTATATTAATTGTATATAATGTCTCGTGACAGCCACTTGGGTAAGCTGAGGGATGTCGTCGGTTTGTGAAGGCTGTTATGACGACAGAAACATTGAGAACCTGGTCATAAAGAAATGTATAAATACAGCCCATTCGGTTCACTACGTTCCAAGCACGATGATTTTAGCAAAGCGGGTATAGATGCGACTGTTCTAATACAGCTTTCATTCGTTCGTGCGTGCGCTGTTGCCAATACACTTCGAATTCAGATCTGAACGTACGGTAGCAAGCGGTAGTAAAGCACACAAAGCAACAGTCAATTCAGGTATAAACCAACTGTCGCGAGGAGGCTGTACTTTTTGGAAGTCTGGTGCCAACCTAATGTTCCAGTTCGTGATATTTTGGCTTGATGCGATCTGGAGTTTATGAAACTCATATATGTTTAGTTTAAGGATATTAACCTTAGATTGTAAGTTTGATTAACCTTGTGTTTAGTTTGTACGTGTGGTTTTTTTTTCAATGTTTGTTTTCAAGATGAATAAAAATAATTTCATGCTTTAGGATTAATTAAATAGTTGTATCGTTAACCACATTTCAAACCTCCTTCTTCCCTTTTCTCATCCAAAAAATTGTAAATCTCCACTAACCTCGAGACAACCGCGAGTACTCGGTCCAGTTCCTTTTACCTTAAATATAAGACAGTAATAATGTATAACGCAAAGGATAACTCGGCTCTGTAAAGTTTATTCGATTGAGCCTGTACAAATAAAGTAATTATATAAAAAAAAATGGATTGGTCGTTTCGATGAAAGTTGATTTTAAACTGATTTTTTATATTTCAACTACATTTCAATTACAATTAGGATTTTTACATGGCATGGCGAAAAACTATTAGCTGCAAAAAAAATCAAACCTCTATCTAACGAAATTAAAAAGTTTGTATCGCTGTCCCATCTTTGCGCCCAAAACTTGAACTATTCGTATCCACCAAATTATAGTCCTAATTAATCCAGAAAACTTGGTGACGAGTTGGTGCGAAATTCGTCTTTGGTCAAAACTGGTACACTTACCCTAATCATGTTTTGACACATTTTGAAAACGCAATCTAGAAAACTAGGTTTGTTTGATCATAAATGCGAATCTCAACTAATCTTATTTAAATTTTGTTTGTTGCTCTGATAATCCTAGGAGTTGCCGTTAGATTTTTCGAGAAAAGAAACTTCAACGATTTCCTTTATTGGATCGCTGAGCACCTTTCTTCCCTAAAATTACACCAAACCTGTGGAATTATTCCTTATATTCATTCTCACACTCTAAGAGTCACGCCATCATCGTCCTCATCGCCGCCAAACAAATATTAATAAGGCACTCTGAAATTAATCGACGGTTTGCATTTTCCCTCTTATCAAAAATGACATGAACCATCAATTTTTATGTTTTAACTCTTTTATTACTTTTCATTTTCATCTAGGTGCTCCAGCTACTACAGTAACTTACCAGCCTTAATTGTTATAATATATAGCTAAGTGTGTTTACATTGTTCCTGCTGTGGCAATTCAGTATTTTAAACAGGTTTTCTAAACATGCATGTCAGTATAACAATGGACATCTTAAAATACTAAAACTAAAACTAAATCTTATTTAAATGTAAAGGGAATTAATCATTGCAATTGAGGATTGCCAATCAATTCTAGGTATCTCGGTAGTACTGTATCATGAAGGCAACTTCAAAATCATCTTAAGAGCTTTATTCTGAATCCTTTGAGGTGTTTTTGTCCTGGTCTAACGAAAAACCTGTTTAAATATTAGAAGTTTATTCTTCAGGCAGAGTTTGGATTTTCGGTTTATCAGAGGATACAAACATTTTATATATTTCTTACATTTGGCATGGATGTCCTCCTTAATGTGATCTTTAAAAGTTATTTATGTTCAAGTTGCATTTCACATGGTTAGACCAAGAAATTGGAACTCCGTTCATATTGACTATGGGACTACTACTACACAGATACAAATTCTGAATTTTAATTGTCATGTAAACATTCATTCTCGTAAACTTGTATTTCATTTCACACAACCGAGCAACTTGTAAGCAATGTTGTTTACAAAGATGGGCTTTTGTATACAGTATTTGCTACACTGCATGAAATGTGTCAGAGCTTTACATGATATAAAATGTAAACTTATATGATATGTGACGCTCCATTTATGTGCATCATATTGAACAGATATTTACACTACTTTTTCGAACTGTGTAGGTTTCAAAAAGAAGGCTCTCAGCTTATGTGGGAATATTATAAGATGAGTTTTGGAAGCGTCCATTTTTGTTAATAAGAAGAGAAAATATCTTAACTTTTCTGCAGTCTGCTGCAAATAACACGAATACTTCTTCCTTTAGCGGAAATGCTTGTATCATCGACGAGCAAAGATTTGTGGCATCCCTGAGGCAAACCAGGGAAGTCCGAAGTGAAAATGTTATACAATGTAGGCCCGAGAATCCTACATTGAGAAACTCCTGCTATAACAGGCATTTGTTCAGATTTGGAATTTTGATAAATTACCTAAAGAGTTCTGTCAGTTAAATCATTTTGAATTAATTTCCTAATATAGAGTGGAAAAATAAACTTTATCATGCCAAACACTGTCGAATGCTTTTCCTATGTCTAGAAGAGTAACTCCAGTTGAGTAGCCTTCAGATTTGTTTCAATGAATAGACATGAAATACTAATGATTAATGTTACTAATAGATTGTGCTTTTTTTTAGGAAAAATAATGGAGCCCACCAAGGAAACAGTCGTCAGAGGCAGCTATGCATGGGGTGGCAATACTGGCAATCATGGCAACAAATACGAAGAAGATTTAGCATTTGCGCTGTTTGAGCGAGCATCTTTGCGGAAATCTGAATTCAAACTGGCCTCTGAAATGAAGGACGCTGGAAAATTCGATGATGTGGTCATATTTTTTGAAGAACCGAAGGAAGTGTGGTTGTTCCAAGCCAAACACAATGACAGCTCAGATGGTTCAAATCCAATATTGTTCATCGATTTGTTCCCAAATACGTGTAAGGGTGATTTTGCTATTATCAAGTACATACAGTCGTATTTAGACGTTATTCAAAAAGATGAGTTCAAGGAGTTCAAGATGCGATTTTTTATCCTTACCAATAAATCATTAGACGATAGCATAACCAATAAATCATTAGACAATAGACTAACCAATAAATCATTAGCCGATAGAAATAGTCAGCTTAGAGAGTTGGTGGACATCGAGGTCTGTGAACAAAGTGAAGTGAACCCAATAATGAAATTTGCTGAATCGGACGATTGCTACAAAAGATTCAGACCAAAAAAGGATAAAATTGAAGATTTACTGAAGTTGATGAACACCGAACTACATGCCATTAGGGATGCGATCATTGAACTCTTCAAAAGTGGAAAAGTTTCGGACTTACTAATCTACTACAAAACACCGTTGCAGAAGATCATGGAAGTTTCAAATGAAAATCTAAAGCTCAAAGATATTGTCTCAACCAGAAAGGATGATTGGTTGTGCAATGAGCTACTAAAGGAGATTGGCGAGAAAAAGAAGGCAAAAAATGAAGCGATTACATTATTTATGAAAGGTAAATCTAGGGACACTAAACTACCAACGTATTTAACTAAACATAGCGTGAGCAAGTTCTTTCAGCATCTAACTTTCTGTGTAAACCAACCAAGTGATCTAATAAGAACGATTGGCAATGATCTTCGCTCATGGATGAGAGATTGGATTCCACCGGACCATCTTGGCAAAGTAAAATTAAAACAACATTTCAATAAATTTGATGAATGTTTTAAAAAGTGGATCAATTCTAAAAGTTACAAGGATACCGAAAAGAATCAGCCAGAAAAGAGTTACTTATCTTATAAGGAGGGACGTTCTTGTGTCGAAGAAATAACCAGGGAACTGAGTCGTAAATTATCACAACGTAAATATATTGGAAGCTCGTACATAGTAAGAAAATTAATTGATTACAATCTCATTGTTAGCGACCATGATTTCATCAAACAATTAATACACAACCAACTAAATAATTTTTCTCTCTTCATTGGAGAGCCTGGTATGGGAAAAACAACTATCCTCCAATACATTGCCTTCGAAGTTCAAAAGAAATCCGATATTGATGTGTTCTTGATATATTTGAAAGACTTAAAGGAAAGGCTCGAAGCAGGCTGTGAAAACTTAGAAGAGGTTTACAAAATTCTGCAATCGGCTCTTTCAGAAACCAGCTTGACAATTTTGAAAAACAATCTAGAAAGCAACGCAAATCGAACTCTAATCCTGTTTGATGGGTTCGATGAGATCACTTTTCATAACGAGGCAATCGCCGTATTTAGGCAATTTTTGTCAAACGAGAATATTCGAGTGATTGTAAGTGGTAGATATCATGTCAAAGATATTCTTGAAACAGAATTTAGAGCAAGGGCAATCAGATTGTTTCCCTTTGAAAATGATGAACAAATTATGGTTTTGAAAAATTCATGGGAAGCTTCCGATGATTCAATGGAATTTAAAATTTATTCAACTCAATTGCTCGAAAAATTCAACTCGGACATAAAAAGCTATGACTCTGAATTCTTTGGTATTCCACTTATAATTCGATTGTTGGCGGAAGTATATTCTGATGATTTCCAACAATATTTAAAAACTGTTCCAGATAAACGTGCACAAGATATTTTCCCGAAAGAAAAATTTAATGTTCTCTCATTGTTTAAAAAGTTTGTAGAATTTTCGTTTCAAATCAAATGGAAGAAAAAAAGAAACCAAGATGCTTACAAAATTATCGACGTGCTAAGTGATGAGGAAGAGCTCTCTTTGTGGGAAACCTTTAATATTGAGCATCAAATAGCTGCTTGGCACGAGATTTTTGTGGATGAACATAAGGAAATAATCAAATCGGGTAAACACAAAAGTCAGTACAACCTACTCCAAAACCGAATCAAAGACGGAAAAGAGTACTCTCCTCTATTTAATATTTCCAAAGGCAATCTTAGATTCGTACACCGATCCTATGCTGAATTTTTCGTTGCAACGTATCTATTTGATCATATCCAAAAATGCAAAGAAATTTTGTACGAAACACTTCGTGATCATGAAACAGTTCGAAGATTTTTCTTTATGCTAACTGAAGAACAGTTTTCAAAACAATCAGAGCAAATGATTGTTCTGAGCTATATTTGTAAAGCAAAACCTGAGGTTGCATTCTGGGCATGTGAAGCAAATGCTTTAAACGTAGTAAAGGGGCTACTACAAAAGTATGATTACAAAACTGAAACATACAAAGAACACGGATCATTATTACACACTGCGACGCGTGCTGGTCATTATAAGATGGTTTTATTTCTACTTGATTATGGCATAGATGCGAATTTGATGGCCATGGTTCATGAATTATATTTTGATGAATGGACTGATAGAAGTTCGCTGCACATTGCTATTAACAGGGGACATCTAGATATTGTTAAAGTTCTCCTCGATCGATCTGCCAACGTAGATCTTCAGGATAAAAACAAAATATCACCTCTCCAGTATGCAATTATAATGCAGCATCTAGAAATTGCTAAACTTATCATCAATAAATCTGCCAACGTGGATCATCAGGACGAATATAAACAAACACCTCTACACTATGCAAGTGAAAGTGGTCATTTAGATATTGTTAAACTCCTCCTCGATCGATCTGCCACCGTGGATCATCAGGATGAAGAAAAAAGAACACCTCTTCACTATGCAAGTGAAAGTGGGCATCTAGGTATTGTTAAACTTCTCCTCGATCGGTTTGCCATCATTGATCACCAAGATGAAACTGATAAAACTCCTCTCCACTATGCAAGTGAATGTGGGCATGCAAAAATTGTTGAACATCTTCTCAAACGATCTGCTAACGTGGATCATCAGGATGAAGGAAAAAGAACACCTCTCCACTATGCAAGTGAAAGTGGGCATCTAGATATTGTTGAACTTCTCCTCGCTCGATCTGCCATCGTTGATAATCGGGATGAAGAAAACAGAACACCTCTCGACTATGCAAAGGAAAGTGGGCATCTAGATATTGTTAATCGTCTCCGCCATCGATCTGCCATCGTTGATCATCAAGATGAAAACAATTAAACACATCTCCACTATGCAAGTAAAAATGGGCATCTAGAAATGGTTGAACTTTATCAGGATGAAGAATAAAGAACACCTCTCCACTGTGTGTCTTGGAATTTCGTTTAAATACAGTGAAATAAAAAAAAACAAATTTATCAAACTCATATTTCACTTTTTCACAATAACCAACGAACAAACAACAATAGTCACGAACCTATCCAAGAAAATCGACCTTTAGAGGTCTTCAGGGCTTGACTAGACTACCGCAGGAGTAGGATCCACACGTACTCTCAGCCCGTCAACGAGAAGCATTCGCGAGGTATCTTGAAAACTCTTAGCAGAGCATAATCAACACCTACATTCAGCTCAGCTCGTCAACGAGAAGCATTCGCGAGGTATGTATGAAGATCTCCCTCCAGTCTCTCGGTAGACGAGTTTTGGAGCAGACAGAATCCACTCCCAACCAGGCTTGCTTCCACTCACTTGCTATAAAAAAATGATTTTAAAATTTTTGGAATCATTAGATGTTATAATGATATTTTGTACTAGTTAGATACAAGAATATATTGAAAGGCAAGTATTTGACACATAAAACCTGTCAAATTCGCTTTCAGATAGTCACAATAAGTGATTTTACGACTCACGAGCGCTCACTCTGAGTGAACGCTCACGAATCATAAAATCGCTGATTGTAACGCACTGAAAGCAATATTGACAGGTTTCATGTGTCAAACACATACTTTGCAACCTCTTATTTCAACTTACAAGTACTAAATATCATAATAATATCTAACGATTTTATAATTAAGAAAAACATTTTTTTATAGCAAGTGAGTGGAAGCAACCCTGCTCCCAACCAGCCAACAACAAGCATGCCTTTCAAAAAGAGAAGTCCATTATAATTGGAATAACTGCACATCAAAATATCCAATTTGAAAATAATCCAATATTTTCATTGAATTAAAATTTAAAAACACTGTATGCAAAAGCTGCCGCCAGGTAAGTAAATTCTGAACTACTTTGCTATAACGGATGAAGAGGAAAATGGTTGGGTTGTGGAAGAGAACGAGTTTCGAAAGTCAGTTCATTATTGATTGACACCCCTGATTCGTTAATCAGTATTTTAGGAACGCAAACAGTCCGCATCGTGCTCTCTTGCCGTGCGGATCTATTTGCTTTTTGCTGAAGGAAGTGTTACTACTACCTAAAGCTACAACAAATTTAAACAGCACTTTTCAGTGCTCAATCTGTAAAATTTCTACCTTGTTCAACTTTATTCCTCTTCAATCCTTGTTTGGACCCTACCCGAGGTAATCCTTCTTGGATATCGATTTGGAAAATTCCTCTTCGATTCTTCAGATTCTTATAGTAATCTGCTTGGAAGTCGATTTGGATAAAAATTTACTGCTGCCATGGCGCCTAAACGCAAAAGAAAGGGGCAAACTCTTGACCTCCCTTCTGATGAAATTAATTTGAGTAATCAATTTGATTTGCTCACGGATGATGAGAATGATCCATCATCCAAGAAAAATTCTAGTAAACTTTCCCGGCTTAATGCCAAGAAGGAAAATATTCCCCCTATTGTGATAACCACTTCCGATTTCCATGCTCTTCGCATGGAACTTTTGAACTTCGTGAAAGTTAAGTTTTCTCTACAAATTGGACGTCGGGGTGAATGCCGTGTATTGGCTGAAACCTTGGACGGATTTAAATGTCTTCTCAAGTATCTTACAGAGAAGAAGCACAAATTTTTTACTTACGACACCAAAACTGAACGTGTGTTCAAGGTTGTCATGAAAGGACTGCCCAGTGGTGAATCCCTGGATCAGATCAAAGATGAACTGGCAAAATTACTTGGAGTTGTGCCACTCCAAGTAATCAAAATGAAAATGAAATCCCGTCCTGGCGATTCGCACAACGGGATTTCTAATGATTTTTATTTAGTTCACTTCAAGTCTAGTGAACTAAACAACCTTAAGGCCTTAGAAAAAGCTAGCCTAATGCTCCATGTCCGAGTGAAGTGGGAACACTTCAGGAAGACTGGAGGAAATTTTCAAAACCTCACTCAGTGCCATAAGTGCCAGGGATGGGGTCACGGAACTAAAAATTGCTACATGCCAGCTAAATGCATGAATTGTGGTGATTCCTCTCACGCAAAGGACGACTGTCCTATGAAGGAAGATCCGAAGAAATTTAAATGTTCAAATTGTGGTGAAAACCACAAATCCAATTTTTGGGAATGTAAGACTCGCAAAGCGATCCTACAATCTCGTTCTAACCGACAGGTAAGAAACGCTCCACGTTTCCGACCAGGTACAAATTCCTCTGCTGTTAACAACGGTCAGCGAGGAACAAATTCTACATTCGTACCCGTAGGTACAAATATCACCCCTGCTTCAAATTTTTCATCTGTACCTACTCCCCTCGCTGCTAACAATGTTCAGCGAGTTAATGGAGCTACCTATGCTGCTATTGCAGCGGGTAGAAATCAAAATACTAACCAACGTTCTAACGGAAATTTTGACAATTTTGACTTAGGAAGCATTACTGCCCCTAAAATGGAATTTTTACAGAAATCATTAATTGACATGATGTCTGATATGCTTAAATCTAACTCCATGTTTGATGCTATTCAAACTGGAGTAAAATTTGCAAATAATATTGTCATGACTTTAAAATTCAGTAATGGATTTTAAAGCATTAAATATTGTAAATTGGAATACTAAATCTCTTAAAGATAATGAAGACGAGCTATTTAATTTTTTGAGAGTTCATAACGTGCATATTGCCGTTATAACTGAAACGTTCCTTAAACCTGACCATAAGGTTAAGAAGGACGCAAATTACTTGATTTATAGAAATGATCGTCTTGATGGACCCTGTGGTGGCGTTGCCATCATTATTCATAGACGAATCAAGCATAAAATTCTTTCTTCATTTGAAACCAAAGTTTTTGAAACTTTGGGAGTTTCTGTTGAAACAAAATTTGGACAACTTACGTTTTTAGCTGCCTATTTGCCAATCCAATGCGTAGGCCAGAAAAAGAATTTTCTCAAGGGTGACCTCCAGAAACTTACCCGTCATTATTGGTGATTTTAATGCAAAACACCGCTCATGGAATAATGCTCAAAGCAATTCCAATGGTAATATTCTGTTTGATGATTGTTCTGCAGGTTATTACACTATTCAATATCCAAACAGCCCAACATGCTTTTCTTCTGCAAGAAATCCCTCCACTATTGATTTGGTCTTAACTGATTCATGTCAACTTTGTAGCCAACTGGTTACCCATGCTGACTTCGGTTCTGATCACCTTCCAGTAACTTTTGAAATATCCCAAGAAATAATTTGTAATCCCAACAGCTCTACTTTCAATTACTATAGAGCTGATTGGGAGCGATATCGAACATTTATGGAATATAACTTCGATCTAAACATTCCTTTGCAAACCAAAGATGAAATTAATTATGCTCTTGAATCTCTGACTACTTCTATAGTTGAAGCAAGAGCTGCCTCAGTACCAAAATGCGAGGTTAAATTCGATTCAATTATAATAGACGACGATCTTCAGCTCTTGATCCGTTTTAAAAATTTCCGTAGGAGACAATATCAAAGAACACGCGATCCTGCCATGAAGGTTATCTGGCGGGATTTGCAAAAACAAATTAAAAAGCGATTCTCTGCCCTGAGGAACAAAACTTTTGAAAATAATGTTTCTAAATTAGACCCGAGTTCCAAAACCTTTTGGAAACTCACAAAAATTTTGAAAAAACCTCAAAAGCCAATTCCAGCCCTTAAAGAAGGTGGTAAAATTTTGATCACAAATTTGGAAAAAGCTCAGAAACTTGCTAAGCAATTCGAGAGTTCCCATAATTTAAGTTTGGGTCTTACTAGTCCTATTGAGAATCAGGTTGCTGGGGATTTTCTGAATATTTTCTCTCGGGAAAATATTTTTGATGATTCCCGGGGGACTGATTTGGACGAAGTAAGGTCTATAACTAAAAAGTTTCAAAATATGCAAGCTCCAGGTGATGATGGAATTTTCTATATCCTCATCAAAAAACTCCCAGAGTCTTTCTTGGTAAAATTATTTAACAGATGTTTCCATTTGGCATACTTTCCTGATAAATGGAAAAATGCAAAAGTTGTTCCAATTTTGAAGCCGGATAAAAATCCAGCTGAAGCTTCTAGCTACCGCCCAATAAGTTTGCTTTATTCAATAAGTAAACTTTTTGAAAAGATAGTTTTGAATAGAATGATGCTTCACATCAATACGAACTCAATTTTTGCAGATGAGCAGTTTGGATTTCGCCATGGGCATTCAACTACTCATCAACTCTTAAGAGTTACCAATTTAATTCGTTCAAACAAATCGGAAGACCACTCAACTGGAGTTGCTCTTCTAGACATAGAAAAAGCATTCGACAGTGTTTGGCATGAAGGTTTGATTGCTAAATTGAAAAAGTTTAATTTTACACTTTATATAATGAAATTAGTTCAAAATTATTTAACTGACAGAACTCTGCAGGTAAATTTTCAAAATTCCAAATCTAATCGACTACCTGTTAGAGCAGGAGTTCCTCAGGGTAGCATTCTTGGGCCTATATTGTATAACATTTTCACTTCGGACCTCCCTGATTTGCCTCAGGGTTGCCACAAATCTTTGTTCGCTGATGACACAGGCATTTCCGCTAAAGGAAGAAGTCTTCGTGTTATTTGCAGCAGACTGCAGAAAAGTTTAGATATTTTCTCTTCTTATTTACAAAAATGGAAGATTTCTCCCAACGCTTCCAAAACTCAACTTATAATATTTCCACACAAGCCTAGAGCTTCGTTTTTGAAACCTAGTAGTAGTCACATAGTCACTATGAACAGAGTTCCAATTTCCTGGTCAAACCAAGTGAAATATCTTGGATTAATACTTGACCAAAAATTAACTTTTAAAGATCACATTGAGGGCATTCAAGCTAAATGTAACAAATATATTAAATGTTTGTATCCTCTTATAAACAGGATAT